GCAAATTCTGATTTATGTGCAGTGATGCCTTGATGTTTTGATGTTGTGATTTCTTTGATGAATTAATATAAGTATGATTGTTATTTCTATGTGATTTGTACATGAATATATGATGATTCCTATGATGTAATAATTGATTAGCTATGACGATATTTCCATGAGTTTAGATGATTCTATGATGACATGATATATGATGATGATTGTGATGATGATGATTTTGATGAATGATGATGCACCTATGATGTTATTATGAGGATGATTTTTGACGTGTGCATCATGCATTCATGTGCATCAGACTTCGGTTCAGGACCTTGATTTTCTTTGGCTTCAGTCCCATTGTGCGGATGTGAGGTATTTGATATGCTCCGGTTCTCGAGTAGAATCGATCCTATTGATGGGGATCTATGGAGGGTTGATGGCCTAGTGTCCATCGAGCTGTGATGATTGGTACCACATGCATGAGTCTTGTTGCATTTGCATTTATGTGACGATTTGAGTGTAAATTATAATGTTGCGAACTTTGATGTTCCTTGATGACTATTATGATTTTGAATATGACAATGACGCCATTTTATATATTGATTTTCTTACATTTATTATTATGAATCGTTTTACTCACCCTGCCTGTTTGAATGTTGCCTCTACGTGTGTAACGTGCAGATGACTAGACTTAGTCGTGGACGTCGTCGAGGACTTCTGAAGTTTTTGGGTCGTTGGCAATTGTGGTTGACTTAGAGGGTCTTGCTCTGATAGTGTAACATTGGGTTGGGGTCTTTGAGTTAAACCATGTTTTATTTGATTTTGTTATTTTGATTATGTTCCCGTAAAAGGAAAACTTTGGATTTTTGCCTTTTTTAGTTTCGTTGCCATTTGAGCACTTTTGAGTAATTTTGAGAAAACCCGTTGTTTACGGAGTATTGACCTTGATTTGAATTTATTGAGAAATGTATGCCCTTTTAGGTGATTTTTATGGTGTTTAAAATTTTACTCTGATAAATTCTATTATTTTGCCATAATATTCGTGGGGTAGAAAAGGGTGTTACAAATTTTACCCTAAACACAACCCAAGTGATCTCAGCACCAACAGCCTCTAGCTTCTGGTACTTATTATCCCATCAATCTTTAGCTTCCTCAAACAACACGTGAGTACCAAACAATAACTTTTGTTCCTCAATATAGGTCATTACTCAGAAAATGTTCTCGATTTCTCTAAGCCATTCCTACACACTCTTCGGATCATACCTGCCTTTGAAAGTCAGTGGATTACTCCTCTAAAATTTCCCTAAATCACGGAACTCATCACTTGCCTGATTCTACTACCCATGCAATGCCTGAGCCACCGACTCCAAAGCATCAACAATAGCGCAATCGTTTCTTCCAGCCATTTTGCACACCAGCAAACAGATATTAGAAGAAACAATGCATCGACAATCTACACACATATGTCGCATACTACGAAACAATCAACATGCGGATGCGGGGGAAACCCGGTTCTTAACTACGGGTGCGGGTAGACACTAAGACTCACCCACACCCACCCCCGCCTCGCCCCCGGATAATGTATTTTACTTTAATTCTCTTATTTTACTTATTTTAATATTTATTTATTAATTATATTTTTAATTAAATTATCCTTTATTGCAATTAAAATAATCAAATTAATCAAATTAATATTCATTTATTAACTAAATTTTTAATTAAATAATTTATTTATTTATTAAAATAATTAATTTTGTATGGGTGGGGGCGGGGCGGATGCACCTATTCTCCACTGGGGGCGGGTCTGGGTGGTAAATTTTTACCCCCGATTGGGCTTGGGGGCTGGGGCGGGTGTGTTATTGGAGGCGGGTGCGGGTATAGTTAAACTCGCCCCCACCCTGTTGCCATCCCTATCAACATGTCAAAAATCTTGTTGGATGGACTAACCTGCTCCGATACCACTATGTAACACCCTAAACCCCAAAACATGGAATTCACGAAAATAAAATATTTACACACATAAGATGCCACTCAGACATAACATAAACTAGCTCCGTAACACGAGTTATATAAAATGTGCATTAAACCAAACACATGTCATCACATGCTCGCCTTCACGTGGGCTCATCGCAACGGAATTTGAAACAATTGAAATAATCCAGCAACCAATAAGTCTCATAACCTAAACATGGTTATGGAATTTGCCTTCAATAAAAACAACATAGAATAGTAAATAGAAAAAACAAAATGTTCATCTACCTAGTGTGAAAGATCAGAGCAACGAATTCTAAATAATTGCATAAAACGGGAAAAAGAAGAACAACATCTACGCCATCATTCGGGCTCTAAGCATCTACTTTTTTACTTATTCGTCTGTACCCCAAGAAGGAGTACAGAATCATACAAACAACAAAGGGGTGAGAATACGCTCATGATATATAATGGTGCAAAAGTATGCAAGGGTAGCCTAACAAACAACAACAATTATTCAACACAATTCAATCGCATACTTCACCTAAGCATCCTCATTCACCTATAACAATATAACCATTCAATATATATGCAAATAATGAATGCAAATGTACTCAACACCACGACTCAACAATGCATGTGGTATCATTATGGACAACACGAGTCTATCTTGCTCCTGAATCCCCACCATAGGACCAGAACACACCAATCTTTACCATCATCATAGGTAACGCTTCACCAATTCTCATATAGAACCGACTACTCGCTTTTGAATCCCCACCATAGGACTAGAGCATACCAAAAGTCGTTGATATCACCATAATCAATGCTTCACTAATTCCTCAGTGGAATTAGCTACTCGCTCCTAATCTATACGATCGGACTAGAGCACACCAAAACTCCACTTAAGCTCATGCAACATGATGCATGATTCACCATAACATGAAATCTCACCAAAAATGATCACATGGAATGATCACCAATATGCACAACAATATTTTTCGTACAACACAAGTGAATCAATTCAATAGTGATATCATACACAACGTCATAGACTTCCAAGTAGTGGCCAACAGTAGCCCAACCTCAACACGACACCAAAAATCAAAGTCGACATTCAATTCCAAATTAGTGAGCGAATGATACTCATTCTGGCAGCATGACGGATTACCCGTTATCAAGGTGACGCCTTTCACTGTCCACGTCACCTCACATGTCACACTTGTGACGACAATCCTAACCAACCATGCCTGGGGTCTATGAAGGTCTACCCGAAAGTCAGCTGACGCTCGTCACCGCCTCCAAAGTGATGACGACCAAGGCATCATCAGGGTGATGCCTGTCACCCTAAACCAGAAGCTGAATCTGCATTTTCTACAATGAAGTTCAAAACAGAACTCTGATTTCACATCCCCTGACCCCAAATCGCACAGCAACATCAATGGAAACAACATTTATAATCAATACAGTAATTATTCATCGATTAACATGCAATTTCACTTATTTAGCCATGGATTTAACATGGTTTGTTCATCAATTTTACAACAACACATGAATACACTTTCATAGCATTTTCATCAACAAGAACACATAATTATCATGGAAAAACAATGCACGAAATTTCCCAACACAACACACAATCATACAATTGCATAATCTATTTCACATGTTCATCCAACTTTAATCAAAAGAAAAAAGTAACAAAAATCTAATGAGATTAAGGATTTTCCTCTACCCAAACATGCAATATACACCTTATTATGAGTAATCTCCACCCTTACCTTAGATTTTCTAGCAAAACTCCTTAAGCTCTTTCAATGGATGTTCTTTCTATGCCCTAGTCTTTGTCTCTTCCTCTTTACTCTAAAGTTCTATTTTTCACATTCTAATTTTAAACTCTTACTAACTTCTTCTTATTAGAGTTTAATCTCCCAAATTAGTGACTTCCAACCTTACTCTCACTTACTCCTCTATTCACTAAATGTCCTTCTCATCTCTAATTTTATTTGAATAAAATATTCCTAATAATATTTTCCTTTTCTCTCACTATTTTCTACTCCAATAAAATAAAATATCTACATTCTAATTATTTTAATAATAATTCTCATTTTCCTATTATTATAAATTTTATTATTTAATTAAATAACTATAAATATGCACTTCCAACCCAAAGCATCAAATATTATTACTAACCACCCAATGCACATAGAAATCGATTTAAATAATTAAATACACACAATTTTAATTAAATAAATAAATTAGATAAATAAGGTGTTACACGTGCACACACAAAGTCTTCATTCATAACAATTAGCAATGAGATTGAAGGCACTTTGTTTGTGTGAACTCAATAGAGGTGTTGTTCTTCATTCATTTACTTACATCTCATGTTTCTGACTTTTTTGCATGTTGCTTGGTCAAATTGACGAGATTAATCAATTTAATGAATAAAGAGACATTGTAATAACTAAGTCGTAAAAAAATCATTATAAATGTCATATCGAGTCAATCAAACTCTTTGATACTATATTAACAAAAGAAAAAGAAGAAAAAAAGACTAGGATTTGTATTGAAATGAAAAACGTTTATAGAACAAAAATTATAATAGAGATTAAAGGCAATGTGGTTTCTTCTGTGATTTTCTCTCACAATTTCTTCCAATTTCAATGAGTAACCCGTTGCCAACTTTAAAATATAGGCGCGAGTGTCGGCTAAACTTATTTCTCAAGAAATAAGAATTATATGAAGGAATTTACTTTTTAAAAGAAATCATAAGTTACAAAAATAGGCTTTATACCTTAAGTGGAAACTTTAAACAATATGATCAATCATGAATTTTATAATATCATTTAAAACTAGTGTAATTCTTACAAAGGAGGGAAATAGAGACAGTGAAGAAAGTCATTAGATAAATAATTTAAATTAATTCATGCCCCTCAGCTAAATAACATAACAAAACAAAACTGGGACCTTCAATCAGGTCATGCCACTGACTCCAGGGTTACATTTTTGACACTTGGTCATCGCTACTTCCTGTATTACCACTGCCATCATTTTGTTCTTTGTTTCTTACCACCCTTTCTTTGTTTCTTAGCCCATATTCTCTTGTTTTCTCCTGTTGTCTTGTTTTCTGGCTGCTTAATACCTTTTCTCTTGCTTTCTATTAAAGCAAGTCTCTTCTCCTCCCTGCAGGAATCACAAAATCCTTAGATTTTTAAAGGATTGACAGCTGAGAATTTATTGAATACCTATAGACAGATTCTATTATGAATATCAAATCTGAATAAAACATTTTACCTGGACTTTGAAATCTCCTCTCTTGATGGAAATTTCGTTTTCACAAATTTCCTTTTCTTGGATTCAGGTTCAAAAGATGCTTTCACATTAGCATTTACACCATTACTACTTGGTTTTGAAGGGAATTTCTCACTTTTCCTCTTTTTAGATTCAGATCCCAAAGATTGTTTTCCGTTTTCTTTTATGCCATTACTAGGTTTATCGTCATCTTTCAGAAGCTCTGTTTCTTCTTCGTCATTTTCAGATGTTTCAGTTATGCCATTACTTGGTTTATCATCATCTTTCACAAGCTCTGTTTCTTCTTCGCCCTTTTCAGATGTTTCGTATGGTTTTGCACCAAGTTTTGAGTTGCTCATTTTCTTCAACTGCAAGATATCAAATCAAGTTAAAGAATATTAAAAAACAAAGCAGGACTTTGTGAATGTGAACAAAAAATAAAGATAACTAAGTGAATATGAACAAACAGAGCAAAATAACCAAAAATAAGGATATATACCTTGGCAACAAAAAATCCATCCATATTGTGTACATGGGGATAGAAACGTCTAGTTTTATCTAATGAAGGGTGAAAACGCAGTTCCCTAAATTTGGTGAACCTGACAGAACAAATGTCACAATACAGACAGTTCCAATAAATACAAAAATGTTGTAAAGGGAAAATGGGATATAATCATTACCCTGGACGCCCAAAGTCAAGTCCACAAGGAACCAGTTTAACATCCCTCCTTTTGAGTGCATAATCGATAACTGCTTCATTCTGATTAATATTTAAGAGAAGAATTTAGAAACATAGGACGAATTAGCAAGCATGAAAATTCAGTGGATGCATGTTGCAACTGAAAAACAAACCTCGGCAACCATGATTGAGCACGTAGAATATACAATGTATCCCCCAGATTTTGAATTAGCATCTACCATGTCAATTGCAGCAAGAATGAGCTCCTGTAAAAGAAAAAGGTGATTATTAAATATCACCGAAGGGACAAGGGCTCAAAATTATGCATGTCTAGTTTCACTACAGCCATTTGATGGGGAATAATTTTCAAAAATGAAATTTCATGCAATTCAAGTTTGGGATATTTGTCCCTCATATTTCTTGTAACAAATAACAACTCTAATATGATATGAAGAACAGTGAAAACAAAAGTTAGATGGGATGGAAGAACAGGTAATTCAGCCATTATTAAATGGCACAGTACGAGGATCAAGTATTCAGTATTTTTGATATATTTCATACAAATACAATTTTCAAAAATATTCAAGGATTAACTATTTCAATTCCCACATTTTGGCACCATTTGACTCTCAACATGAAGACAGGGTCAAATATTTGAAAGAGTGAGTAAACCAGTCAATAAAAATCATAAAGTTGAAAACAAAAACAGCAATTTAGCCTCTTAAATACACACAATTCATGCTTTGGTCGATGGAACATAAAAGCAGCAGAAGCAACGAAAGTATGCAACACATTTATATATTCTATTTTTCTCAGTCCTACCTACATTTTGCTCATCTCTCCCAAACAAAACTTTAAACAAATATAATTTACCTTTTGTAGATGGGCACATTTCTTAATATCTTCATAGTTTTTAGATGTTTTAACTGACTCATCTTTGGATATAACCTGCAGACATAAATTATTTTAGTGCCTTTCTTGGTTCTTAAAGACAAAAGCAGATACAATAAAACTTCATAAAATCTTAATCTATTTATTCACAATTCTTACCCCAGTTCCACTGCAAGGGGCATCCAATAATACTCTATCAACAGAATTGAGACCCATAACCTTTGGAAGCTGAAAAATAACAACATAAATGTAAATATAAACATAAATATAAATATAAATATATATAAATATATAAATATAAATATAAATATAAATAAATATAAATATAAATATAAATATATATATATATATATATATATATATATATATATATATATAATAATTATAAAAAAAAAAACTGGATGTTTTGTCACATGCAAAATCATTTATACGACTTAATAGAAGTGACTTGAATCCCTTGTGTAGAATTAAATTGACATGGCTAACCCATAATACAGGATAGTAATGATTAATGTAGAAAGAGAGAAAGAATATGAATAATCAATCAGATGCACTAAAATTTTAGTGACCCTCATTTATATGGTTAAAATAGTACATAAGACAAATGGGCCAAGCCCATATACTCAATACTAAACCCTAGTAAAAGGAAGTAAAAGTCAAAGAGATGCTAACCTCCTTCCCGTCATAGTTGCAGACAACAGTGTTTGATACACCCATCCGATGCAAATTTGCAGTCAGAGATTTTAGTCGTGGTACCTTTATTTCATTGGCAAAAATTATTCCTGCCATTAATATATAAATTGATTACTCAAATCATGAAATTACAAACAATGTAAAAAGGTTCAGATCCAACAAATGATAAGCAATTAGTTAAAACCCAAATTCTTGGAACCTACAAACTAGTAATAAAAAGAACACGTTTAAAATTCAAGGATTTAAATTTCGTTCATTTTTTGCTATTATCCCAACTCAATAGGAATGACCCAAGAAAGTGTTGTCCATGGCTGATGGTGGTCCATGGCTGATGGCGGTTCATGGCTGAGGCAAAATACCGCCATACCAGACGTTTTGTGGCGTTGTTATGGCGGAATAACCCGCAATATTGGCCGACATTTACCATTGCGGTGAGCCAAAAAAACATCATGTATATCCACCATAGTGCCGCAATTGCGAATATTTGATAACACTGACACACGGTGACACTGAAAGTGTACTTATGCAGTAATGAGTAGGGCTTTAGCAGAACACAGCCTACTATGCAGAGAAAGCAACTCATCCGTTATAAGTTCAAACTGAGACCTAAAAGTAAAGCTACAATCCAAAATGAAGTAAAATGTTCGGTTCATTTTGATGCAAATAACTATGTATCATTGATGTAAGTCAAATCTAATCCACAAGACATATTGAAAGAAAATGCGAAAATATAATTCAAATTAAGGGCATATCATTCACAAAAACAAAAGAAGAAGAAGCTTTAAGCTACTTTTGCAAAAGAGCTACATTATTAAATCATTTTTTGTTAAACCGGATTCAGCTGCACTGCATATAGAATGTAACATTCTCTCAAAGTACACTTGATAAAAACCAAATTTTATATTAAAAATTTTGTAAAGAATAGTTCACAGCAAACATGAAAAATAATTGCATACTCCTCCTGACACAATAATGGTTACATACAATATTGATTACATAAACACACAAAGCCGTGTTTTACTGCTATAACAAGAACTTAATGTACAGGAAACTAAGAATATTATATATACCAGAGTTTTTCATTAGGGCGGCAATGTAAGTTGTTTTACCACCAGGAGCAGCCCTGCAACACGCATAAAATTTCTTCGTCATGATATTAAAAACATTGCAAGGAAAAAAACATGTTCAAGAACTGGTATTAAAAATAAAATTATAAAAAAATTACAACATCTTCCAAATTTATATGGTTGGTTCCAATCACAGAAAATAGTACTTACGCCATATCGACAATCCGTTCCTTTTCTTGAGGAGCCAGGGCCATCACAGGCAGAAAAGAACTAGCACTTTGAAGCTGCAAAATTTTTGAAAAAGAATTTTTAAAAAAAAACAGACATGACATGACATGTAATGTGTAATATTAAATGAAATGCAATGAAGAACTACTACAGCAGAAAACCATTTACCATGTAAAAACCAGCCATGTACTCTGGGGTGGCACCAATTGGTACTTGAGAATCATACACTACAAGTCCAACCTGCAAATATAAACAAATTATATGGTCTCCGAAACTGCTACTAGGATTCATGTACCTACGAAACTGCTACTTGGACTCATGTACCATACGAAACTGCTACTTGGACTCATGTACCATAAAAAGGACAAAAGACAGTTAACAAAAACATTTATAAACTTACTTTGGACCATTTGCTCAAGGGATCCAGATTTACTCCTCGGTTTATCAAGACATCTGCCAAATCTCGTCTACGTGTCTGATTATATTCAGAAGACATATATAAGCTCAATCGGGAACATGGATAAGGTCACATTAACAAATCAACTCAAGGTGACAGAAATAGACATGAAACCTTTAAAGTGTTTGTTCTCAAACATATAGGACGAGGCTTCTCAAAAGCTTCAATCAATTCCATCAGTTCAACAACTGGAAACATCTGAGACAAAAAAAACACAGTTTCAATGAAGCCCTAATTAAAAATCAACAAAATAGAACTCCATTTCAGGACCTACAACGAGAGTTAAATGGTAAAAACTGGATGGAGTGCTCAATGAAATAAAAGTTCAAACCAGAGATAGTAATAATATAATTATCCCAACCTCCACTAAAGCACCAATTAGAAACTCATTGTAGCCATAGTATGCGCGTATATCATTCTTAAGCTGTTCAACATATTCCTTCCTCGTCGACTCATCTTGCCTCAAAGCCTTAAAATTGGAAAGAACACGGACAACTGGAAAAGCAAAAACATTAAAATTTTTACAAAATCTCAGAAGACGATTCATAAATTGTTCCCAAGACCAATAACAGTCCTTAACAACAAAATAAAGTAAACTCACTCTCTTTAATCCTCCTTTGAAGATTGGAAAGATCAGGTGGACGCAAAGCCTCTTCCTCAAGTTCCTATCAGTTAAAAGGTGACCATTTTTACGATACATTGTAACATCAAATGTTTTGGATTTAAATTGAACAATGTCAAAAGTGATTTTCTTCAATATAAAATTGATTATAGCATGTTTGGTAACCTTTAATAAGAATTGACTTCGACTCAGTTTCATTAAAAATTAGAATAAATAGTTTTCGTATTGGATTGAAAACTTATCTAAACTATGGTTAAACTTTCTATTGTTTAATAATTTAAGCAAATCTACAATAAAATGATAATCATAAGATAAATTCAAAATTAACTTCAAATAAATAAGAAACCTGTTTGGTTGGTAATCTAAACTCGTCGGACTCTTCTTGGATATTAGTCTGCATTTCAGCCTCAGCGTCCTCTTTTTCTCTCTCCCTTGCTTCATCAATAGCTTTAGACTTCTTCTCAATATCATCATCATCGTCATCCGAATCAGAATCCAACTCCGAACCAGAATCCGAACCCGAGGCATTCTCTGCAAAAGATAAACATAAGCATCAAAACACCATTACAATTTACAAGCTCAGTATCATGAAAGCATATACAACAATACACACCTTCGTCGTCGTCTTCGCCGCTTCCTTGTAGGAAATCGTCGGCTAACTGATCGTCCCCGTCGGAAGACAAGTCAGAGTCAGAACCAGAGTCGTTGCCGCCGTCATCTCCGAGTTCGAGCTGCTGTGGCGGCGCTTCTTCTTCGGATTCGGAGGAGGAATCGTCTTTGACGGGAACAATTTGTACTTTTTTTGGAGCTTTTTGAAGTTTGGCAGGCTTCGAAGGTTTGTTCCTAGTTGCTGGCGCCATTGGAGATTGGAAGAGAGTGTAGAATTTGGGTGTGTTTCGTGTTTTATTATTTCTTCAGTAAAATCGCTAGGGTTTAGGGTTTACAATTAACGCTTTTGAACGACGTCGTTCAGAGGTACAAGGATTTTAAATGGGCTCATTTCGGGTTGAGCCTTGTTGAATCCACACATATTTGTTTGCTGAAAATTTTACTTGTCACCCCACAACTTTAATGTGGCACACCTCAATTTTCGATAATACCCACGTTATTTTTGACAAAATTTTAATAAAAAGTTCTCGCGAAAAATCTGACAAAATAAAAAAAAAAATTATAAGTTAAAAGTTTTGATAGTGTATGTTAAAAGACCGGTATGAATTTATATCCGTTTTTAAAAAAACAATGTGTGATAATATTTATAGGATTTTTTTGCACAGCCTCAAAAAATTGTCGTTTTTTTAAAACCACATGCATTTACCATAGTTTTAAAGGAACTACAAAATATTTGATGCTCTAATTTCAACTGTTGATATTTTATTGACAATTTTATACGGATGTGAATGCATCAACAGTTGTGTGTGTTCAAAATGATTCAATTAAAAATAAATTTATTTTTGATAGTATACTTGATCTTATCGGATCAGAAAATGATCAACGGTCAGCAACACGTCGTGAGCTCCTTAATTTCCCGGTGGTGGAAAAGAGGAGGGGGTGTACCTGCAAGGTACTCCGATGGCAAAGTAAGAAACGGAGTAAGAGAAAGGCGAGTACAGAAAACTAGATTGTGAATAGAATATCTGACCCTCTAGTGAAAGAGGATATTTATAGTTTGCCCCCGCGCGGGGTCAGCAGTTACTTCGCATTAGGTAGGATCGTTAGGCCCAATACGAATAATTGCCAGGTCTTACGTGGTGTAGGGAAGACCAACATGTGGTCTTCGCCCTGGGTCAACTACCTTGTGATCTTCAGAAGGTGGGCAGTTGCATGATGATGTGTCCCCACGTGAGGGGCGCATGGAATCCGTGGGAGAGACATGTGAGCATTCCCGTGTGATGTGATAAGTTGGGCCCTCTCCAACGAAGAATTGGATTAGGTCATGTCTGTCAGTAAGGCAGCCTCTGGCCCAGTCCAGAAGAGGAGCCCCACAAGTCGTTGCTCCGAAGCAGAAGGGTAATGACTTAATAGTCGGTTCTAGCGTCGAGGGCCTGCCCGGTGGAGCGTTGTGTGTAACACCATTATTGACCTCATTCTCCCTCCTTACCTGAAGCTGAGCTTCAAGTCCTTCAACAATGGTGGAAACTCTCTTATTGCCCTAGTTTTCCCTTGTTCTTTTTTCCTTCTCTTTTCGCGTAAACTACTATGATTTTGCTAACCTTTCCATTAATCCCTCTGATTATGTTTTAATAATAATAACAGTAATAATAATCTCAATAATAATAATAATGTTAATAATTATAATAATACTAATATTAATAATTATAATATTAATAATATTAATATTAATACAACTAACATTAACATTAATAAAATGTCTCCTTATTATATTATTATCACCATGTTGTCCTAACCTTTAATTCTGATTAAGTCCTTTTATTAAGCTCTCACACCCGCCCTACACACTTACCCCTAATTAATTCAATAAAATCACAAACAACACACAATAAATCATAAAATGACTAAATAATTAAATGGGGTTGTTGCACCCCAAATTTTGACCCCTTATATCCTCTTCATATCATATGCATTTATTTATCTAACCTTAACAAGTTTCGAAGTGTGTTTTTGTCAAGATACAGATGAAACGGGGCGCCGCACTGATAAAATCGAAGTTTCGAGGATTGGTCAACCAATGTTTTGGGTTGAATCATTTATGAAATGAGATCAAGAGTACCATATTGGGCCATGTGTGAGTTCAATTTGAGGTAATCACCCACAGATGGGGTGCAGTGCAGTTCAAGGCACCCGGTTAGGGTTTTTCGGGTTGAAAAAGTCAACTGTAGTTTGACTTTAGATTTGAGAAATAATTCAAGGGTAAAAGTATGGTTTAAAAAGTTCATATGGCTTAGTGAAGTCCCCTCAAAGAGTTTCAAAGTCTTGGGAGCTCCGAAACATGAACGGACGGTCCGGTAATCGCCGATCGATCGTACGGTTGACCGAAAAGTCAACCCCTCAAATTTTAGGAATTGGACTTCAAGTTGTGAAGCAAAGTTGTTCCTTATGTCATGAGGGACCTACATATCAATTTTCATGATCATCGGATCAAGGACGTGAGAGTAATCAAAAAATCGGGAAATTAGGGTTCCGAAAGGGGCTGAACCCTAACTCCCTAACCACACACCCAAATGAGGTGGTTCAAAGCTCGTTGGAAAGCTCTTAACAGGTCCTACAAAATTCCTATACTAGCCCACACTCAGAAAATGAATGGAATTGGAGTTATCATCAAAGTCATTTTTTAGTACAAAACACTTAGTGAATTTCTCAAAATCTGGCTACACCAAAACTTGTTTTTTTGCTAACTTTAAGGGACTTTGCAACCAAGATGCACATAGATTTGGAACTTTTGACAAACATGAATGTTGTAGAGCTATATGAGGGCTTTCCAAAAAGTACAAGAACTCCCCAAGAGGAGTTGTGAGCTGGAAGTTATGGTGTCTTGAAGTTGGGTCTGTCACACTAAAAATTCACTTGCTTCAACATCTCAAAGTTGGACTTTTACAACTTGAGGCACTATCCACCCTTGGATCATGTTACAATCTGATAATATGAGGTATGAATGAATAGAAAACCAGAAAAAAGATTGAAATGATGAGCCAAGCAAGTTGATGGCAAGTTGCAATTAAAATAATCATTTTAAAGTCATGAAAGAGAAACTTTTCAAGCAATTTGGGGCAGCTGCAGGCCCCTACCTTCATAGCTCTCTCTAGTCATCTCAAATCCCTCATGTCAGCTGATACTTGCATACCTTGAGCCAAGGGTTTGATGTGTAGAAGCTGATATGAAGATATTGGCAAGATTTTGAAAGAAACATCATGAAACTCCCTCCAAAAATGGAAAATACAAAGCTGCCCTCATCCTTCTTTCTCCTATAAATAGAGGCCTCACCCTAATTTGTTTTCATACCAGAGCTGCTCATAAGATCAAAGCATCACAGCTCTCCCTCTCATTCTCTCTTTACTTATAAGTGAAGAAAAGTTCAAAAACACCAAAAATGGTCATTTTGCAACTTTCACACCATTTTCACTTCTAACATTTCCAACACTCTCACAACCATCCACACATCTTCTAAATGACATATAGAAGGTGTATGACTCATTAAAACATCAAGAACCACAAAAAATCAAAAAGTCAACTCTCATTCCACCATACTTTGACCAAAGGCTACAAAAACCACCAAATCTTGTTCTAAACCTTTTCTTGAGGTTTTGATCCCTCTAACACCTCATAAATAACATATCTCAACTGCCCAAGCACTTACCAATCATTAGAAGCTCACATCTTTTCATTTGACATTGAAAGTACATTGTTGCTTAAAGTTGAAGAAAGGTTCAAAAGCAAGAAAGTGAAGTGTAAATCTCTGGTTTTCTCAACTATTCCAACTTGCTTAAAAGTGTCATCAAGAGAGTTCATCACCAAAAACCTATGGTTGTTATCCATTTGAGGAAGTTGGACCTTTATGTGTTGATGAGACCTTGATTGTTTGGAGGTTTGAGTTGGTTTGACAGGTTGTTGTTTCTGTTTAATTTCAATTTTGATGCTCATGTTAGGCTTAGTTATAGGTCTTGACTTGCAAGTGAGACCTCAACATAGGATGCAGACTGTTAGGCTATAGGTCATAACCAAGATAAAGTTGGATGGAACTCATCATGACTGTTTATATTGCTGAGTCAGAAACATAGGACTGAGAGGAGGGCAGGTTGGTGGCTTTAGTTTGTTTAGCTTGGCTCCAAGGCATTAGTATAGGTTGAACTAAGTTTGTAGGCAAAACAGTTTCAACTCTGTTTATTTCATTTGATTTTTTGTTTGTATGGCTTGAAATCATCTTCTTGGTTGATCTTGGTACTGCTGTCAAAACCTGAAAACTACCATCAATTGGTAGTACATTTCTCATGTTGTTATACAGAAACATCAACCTCATCAAATTTGTGAAATTGCCAAAACATGTAAGTTGTTTTTCTCTGATATTACACTGTATTTCATCACATGATCCTGCATAATCTCCACTGCTGGCAGCATTAATAACTTGCTTGAAAATGAACCATAGCAGTTGAGGCCATATTTTGCATAAAGCATTAAAAACTTGACTTTATCATCCCAGCATGTTTCTATATACATTTAAGATATGCTTGTGTGCTTACTTGGCTGTTTTGTGCATAGCTTCAAAAATTCACATGTTGTCACAAATCCATCAATGCATCAAGTCACTCAATTATCACTTTTTCATGCCAAATCATTTTTACATCAAAGCAGCATCTGAACATCCCTTAAATATCATTTAAAGTATGTTGATATAATTGTTTTAACCTCAAGGCAGCTCCCTCAAAGTTTCATGTCTTAAAACCACCTTTCACACACACATTCAAGCCACACAACTGCTACTCTTTGCACAAGTCTCTTTTTCCTTAAACTTACTTCACATACACATCACAATAGTCATTTGAAGTGTGTTGGTATGTTCATTTTACACTAAAGATCACTGTCACAAAAATTCACCTTTCAAATGATCACTTCTTCACAAAAATGACACTCCACACACCATTTTTGCGTCAACCTTGTTTTTGATTGAAATATTTGATCTAACATTTCATGTTTATCATTTGTAATATGTTTGTGTGGTCCTTTAAATCTAAAACTGGTTGGAATCAAGAATCACACTTTGAAATGAATGATCACACATAAAGTGAGCACCTTGGATACCAAAACCTTATACTGTCATAACAGCCACTTGTTTTTCATCAAAGATCATTCTTTAGCTTATGTTAAAGGTGTGTGTAAGGTTAGAATGATCAATGCTTGCCTTAAACAG